CCTGTTTTGTTGGATGAGTCTTGCTAGGGGTTTATCAATTTAATTGATCTATTCAAAGAGCCAATTTTTTTATGTTATTGGTTTCATCTATTGTATTTTTTCAATTTCAGTTGTCTGCAATTATTATTATAATTTTATTTCTCATTTATTTGGCATGAAATTCCCTTTATTTATCTACCTTCTTGAGAGAAGCTTTTCTTCTTCATCTTTTTTTTTTTTAGGCGTCCAGGGGCTCTGGGCCCCCCTGAGGATGCGGCATACTCTGCGCTGGAGATTTTCCTCTTTTATAATATATTCATTTAGTGCTACGGGTTTTCCTCTAAGCGTTGTTTTAATTGCACCCCAAAAGTTTTGTTTGGATGTATACTTAACATTATTCAATTAAAAATATTTTCAGCATTTCTTTTTTTTTTTTTTTTTTAATTTTGCAGCTGCATGAGAACTACATAGAAGAATAGATGCTGAGTGCCAAAAAGAATGGATTGTACCAGGCTGAGACTTGTATGGGCTCAGTCTCTTTCTTCAACTTCCCCCTACTTTGCTCTATCACAGGTAGCCTGACGCTGCAGGCTGAGACACCCAAGCTTTTGCACAAACTGGCTTCTAGCAGGCATTTGCAGGACTGCGAGGGTGAGAGGAAGGGAGAAGTCACTATCTTCCTTCTCCCTCTCTATCTGCTGGCCCCTCTTATGTTCCCAGCCTTCCCATGATTTGATCTCTGAGGGCTGGTAGTCGCCCAACCTCTCCTGCTCTTCAGCTCTTCCTTCACCAGTATAACTAATTCCCTGAATAATATACCCTCTGTTTTAAATGCCCAGAGTGATTTCAATTTTCTTTTTAGATTCTTACAGGTCTAGCTTTCTTTTATATTTTTAGAGCCTTGAGATCAGAAGTTACAATGAGATACAGCACCATGTAACAAACTATACCTAAAAAATTAAATAAATACAGCAATCTGTTCTAAAGTAGACTAAAAGTGCTTCTGAGAGAATGTAATCTTTTCCTCTATTTTGTCAGAGATTTTGAATTATGCATAACTGAGCTGTCAATCAACAGGTTTAAAATAGAGTGTCGTTTAATGCTATATCTACAAACTAAAGGTTTTAAGGATATTTAAAGTACTGCATTCCACTACCTGTATTCCCAATTTTGAATAAATCATCCAATTTATATGAAACACTTACTTTTACCCTAGAACAGTTTCATTTTCGATGTCTTGGGTAAACCAAAATAAGATAACTGAGGCCTTTACCCCAGGAAACTTATTATATAATTAGGAAGATAGGGCAAACACAAAACAGTTTAGGAGACATGCCTAATTTATTACAAGATTTAATAAAATACCTCAATGCTTAATGACAAAATACTTAAATAAAACTTTTTACAGAAATGTAATGAGCCTCAAATGTAGTTTTAAATTTTCTAATGGCCACATGATAAAAATTAAAAAGTTAAAATAAATTTTAATTATATATTTAACCCAATAACCAAAACATTATTATTTCAACGTATAATTACTATTAAAAATATTAATGACAGATTTTACAGTCTTTACACTGTTTTTGATATTCCACATTCATTTTACATTCATAACATAGCCCAATTCAGATTAGTCACATTTCAAGTGCTCATCTGACTATCCTATTAAACAATACAGAATTAGACAAACCCCCCATGTACAGGGAGACACCTGGTTTTCAAATCCTTAGCTGACAGAACAGTTTCAAGAAGTATTAAGAAGAAATAAATAGGAACCTAACGTTCTCTAAATTCCAATAGAGGACCATTATAAATGGATTTAGAATGATAGTTTTAGAGGAAAAGTTGTCAAAGTTAGCCAGGCTGATTGCTTTGTAGGACAGGATTCGCCAGGGCTGTAACTTGGCAATGTAATGACCACTAATGAAGATCTTTTCTGAAAAATGTGGAGGAGTGAATTTTATTCTTAAGCCTTTTTGCAGAATTTCCAAAGACTAAATAATCTGCTTGACATATTGTACTACACTGTTAATGGAAGATTAGGTTATGGTAGGTATAAACACAAATTCAAGTCCTTTGATTGGATTTACATAATTGTTAATCTATTTAAGGAAACAACAAATACCTACTGGTGGTAGATAATTAGATTAGTCTGATGCCAAGATTTGATCTTACATTTTTACACCTTCGTCAGGTGACTTCATGTATGTCTTGACCCTTCATTTTACACCTAAAATATATTAACTACAATTGGTCTTCTGCATGAATCTTTTTAAAAAATAGACTTTACTTTTCAGAGCAGTTTTAGGTTCAGCAAAATTGAAGGTACAGAGATTTATCATATGCCCCCAGCCCCTCACACGCATAGCTTCCCTCATTACCAACATCCTACACCAGAGAAACAAATTGTATATTTGTTACAATTAGTAAACCTAAAATGACTCATTATTAATCACCCATAGTCCTGTACATAAACCCATAGTTTACCTTAGGGTTCACATTTTATGGGTTTGGATAATTTATAATGAAAGGTATTCACCATAATAGTATTATATTATCCTCAAAATCCTTTACATTACCCTCAAAATCCTTTGTGCTGCACCTGAATCCATTATGCAATGTATCAATCTTCTTTTTAAGTGGAGAAGGTTTTCCTTATAAGGCAATGAAAAATAAATATTTTCTGATATAAATAAAAAACTGAATTCTGTCAGAAAATTGTTCTTTAGGTTGAAGTGGTTTATAAGCACTTGTTTTATCATAAAGAGCTGTTTTTTTCTGTTTGTAAACTTTTCAAAGTTAAAAACATTTCACAAAACAAAGATCTCGAAGAACTTTGAAGATAAATTTACTGCTCAACAGCAGCATCATCTATGGGGACTGAGTTACAGGTATGAACTAAAACTAAAAATGTTGTGTATAGTTGTCAGTATTCTGAAGCACAAATTAGTTGTAGTGACTCAGAAAAATTCCCAAATCACACAGCGCAATGATTTCATAGATCAAACATTTGTAGAGGGCTAACGAACTTTTCTGAAGCATTATCTAAACCTCCTATAACTATGAAAAACAAGTAAGAAAATATTTTTGATGAAATGGGTGAGATCGTGCAGTATCTACTTGGCAGAGGGGTTCTTTCAACTCTGGGTCAATGCATTATAGAGATTAACTTTTCTCTGAACAGCTCCTCACATCTTCCTAATTTACTTATTCTATAATTCTCTTTACTCTCCATCTATGCTTGCCATTATGTGTGTGTGTGTGTGTGTGTGTGTGTGTTTCCTTCTTCTTCTGAGTAATAGATTTATTTCTAAAAGTTGTGGCTGAACTTCAAGGATAGAGGTCTTAACAGTATGCATTTTCATTCTATACTCCCTTGTGGCTTGGTTTTATGTCCTTAACATCCTTATTCTTTTTATTTCCTTTCTTTCCTAAACACATGCGTGTACACATATGCACTCTTAGCGGAGGGAGGCGAAGATTAATTATTAATATTAAACATGATTTAAAAGAACTTTTAATTTAGTTATGGTTAACACTTTGTTATATTCGTTGCTAATATTTTTCCCAGTATGTTTTCTTTCATTTATAGATCATTTATTTTCTGAGTTTTCCAACCTTTAGGTTTAGTATGTCTTAATTCATCTAGACTTATTTAACCACATCCTTATTTTCTACTGATTTTATGTATCTTTCACATTTAAACGTTTATTGCTTCTGGAATTATTTTTTGGCATTTAAATATATTTTGGATTGAATATAAACTGAATTAAATTTAAATTATCTGATTAAGATATAAATATTTTACATATAATTCTAATATATTGATTTTGGAATGAATATAAATTGAATTTAAATTTAAAATTTTCACTATTTTGCATTTGAATTTTATTTCTTTACAAATACCCCCAAATCATTTATTGAAAACCCAGAAAGATCTGATTTACTCAGGTAAATGCAGTGAACGGAATATGAATTGAAATATGAGAAATCATAGTGATAAGCCCAAATAACCGGGGGTGAAATTCCACATCTATTAATCTTTATTACCTTTCCAGTTTGTCAGTGTTTTATAAACCGTCCTATTAGATGAGTATGAGGCATACAGTACTTTCCCTGAGAGTAACTTTAATATATAGCTACTTATTTTTCTTTATATATAATTTTGACTTGCTACTTCATTATTGTAAATATATATTTATACGTAAACACTAGACATTCCATTTTTTGGTGGATATTGTCAGAAAAGAGAATATCTTGAATATTTGTACTGGGAGATGTTTATAGGAGCTAAATACAGAAAACATTCAAACGTCCACCAGCAGAAAAATGAACAATATATTGTTGTGTGCCTGTTATATCCAACTTATTACTTCCAAATTTAACTCTTCCTTGCCAGCTCTTTGTAAATGGATCTTTGTTTTAAAGATCCATATGGATCTTTAAACCTTTTAAAAGCTTTTCTTGCCAAGAGGCATGTTGTTAAACTTTGTGAGCAGAAGGCATTGGAGAGACATTTTAGCAAGGAGTTTTTGTTCCTGGTTCCCATGCGCTCACTTGGCAGACTCCTGAAGGCACATGACTTCTCCAGCCTCTGGTCCCTGTAGCATACATGGCTTCACCAGTGCCCCCATCCTGTAGTACAGGTTGCTGCTTTAGCACCAGTTTCTTGCAGTTCGAGCTGGCCAGCAGAACCAGCAGCCAGGAGCCTCTTCCAGTGCTGCCCTTGGCTGGTTGTGTAGTAGAGTGCCTCTGGCAAGACACTTCCCTATTAACAGCTTCCCACAGTAGGCTGAGTTTCTGAGGAGTTCTGGAGTATAGATTTGCATCAACTTTTGCTAAAGCAACTTCTCTGCCATTCAGTGAGGCCCATGGGATGAGGGGGACTCTGCTCTATCTCAGCCCTAGGGACAGTGAGAGTCCTTTATATAAGCCAGTCTATTCCTAAGAGTTTACTTTTTACTGGATAAGTACCTCATTGTTCCAATGCTGTTATAATCAGTCATATTAATTTCCTATTTACGTTTCTGTGTGATTTCTCTGTCTTAACTGGACCCTGACTCATAAGTGTTATACTCATGCAAATGAATGCTCTATATCAGGGAAATCTAGTGTACTACAGCCAGTGATGCATGGATCAACCTTCAAAGGGGAGTGAAAAAATCAAGTCCTAGAAAAATATACATGATATGATTTTATTTATAAAAAATTTGGAAAATACACAAAGCCAAAAAGATGTAGGGGATGTAGCCATGTGGGTTAAATTATAAATAACAAGAAAGATTAACATACAATTCAAGAAAGTGAGTTTCTCTGGCAGAAGAGGAAGGCACACTGGTTGACAGTACACGGTGGATCCAAAGACACTGTGACATTCATTTTCTCCATCTGGTTATGGGGGAGCGTTACAAATATTCATTTCTTTACTATTTTTCACTGCACATACATGTTATCGATACCCTTTGGTATAAATGAAGTATAAGTTATTACCCCTTATGGTATAGAATGACTATATTTACTAGCAGTGTGATCAGACCACTGTTGTCCAACTAGTGTGCTAAGATAGTATCCTCTCAGCCTTGGGGGCCAGGCAGAGCTAGAGGCCTCTGGCTTGGAGCAGCCCTGTGAATTCTCCTGTGTGCTTTATCACAAATTGATGTTTTCTTTGTGAGCAATGACAAGAGTACGTTTGTAAGTGCTGAATTAGACTCGGTTCCCTGACAATGCTACATACAAGTTTTAATATATTAGGCTGTTTTCCTTAATTTTAACATGTAGTTCAACTTCAGAAATAACTTTCTGTAATTATAAAATAAAAATCACCCATCTCCCTTTTTGATCCACCGAGAGAAGAGAGAATACTAAGATACATACAACTTTAATTTTTAGTTTATCAGTGCTCCCATGAAGATTCTTTCTGAGTGATAGACCATACCAATTCAAATGGATTCTCTACAGAAATGCCTTAGGCTACTTCTCTCAGCGTCCCTGCTGCAGCCTGCACTGTGAAGGCTGCAATAGAAATCTGTTTCTTCACTTCTCCCCAGGCCTTGGAAGGATCCACTTTGTTTTCAATATCTAATAGAGCATCATAAATTCCTGGGAATGACTCTCCCTTGTACTTGTTGTGGCTGCTTGGAGCATAGATGACATGCCTGTTGGTAAAAATAGTTTGCTGTTAGTTGCCCAATGATATATACAAGAGAAAAAAAGCACACTACAATTCTTGGATTGCATAATTCTAATTTTATAATTTGAATAACCCATTTTGTCAAACAAACTTTCAAGTTCAATCATCTACAAAGACTAATCATATTTCATATTAATTATACTTTGACTTTAAACAGATGCCATAAAAATGGTTCAGAGCAACAAAGCTAACAACAATAGCAGTAACAACTTGTCGCCTACTACAGATCATGCTCGGTATTAAAGAATTTACCTATAATTTTTTTTAATCCTTAAAAATAAACTCGACGGAGTTGATATTTGTATTTCAAAGAGGAAGAAATTAAGGTCTGAGAGATTAAGTGATTTACTGCTCAGTCTCAAAGCACATTGTAAGTAAGTGCTAACTTTTCACTATATCACTCTATCCCCTGAAATGTAGCAAAATTGTGATTATTCAAGACCTGTTTGTGACAAGCCAACTTACTACTTTGTTTTTACCCTCTTTGAAAAAGAAGTCATACAAACATGTTAGAATGCCTAGCTTAAAGCATGAAAAATCATTAAATACAATTCTGTAATGTTCAATCCAACATAGACAGAAGGCAATATTTCACTAAAAGAGCTATATTAGTTTCTGTTAATAGCCCTGGCAGGAAAGAACAGGTTTGAAAGTAAAGAGGTAAAGAAGGAAAGAGGCATAATCATGTCTCCGTTGTTTGAATGATACCCTTACTCCCAATTCTGATCCTTTGATAATCCCTAAAAGGAAAGATGGGGCCATTTCTTGCTAGTCAAGGACTCATTCTGTAATACTTAGTAAGACCAACTTGGGCATAGCTGATGTTTATCAGAGATAATTAAAACTAAATTAGATAAAAAAGTAAATGTCAACATTAGGAGAATGTGTAAATTATTATATTATACATGTTTATGCATAAATATATATTTATTATGTCACATGTATATGCATAAACACAAATATATTTAAAATGAGAGAGGGGCTAAAGTTATATACATTAAAACATAAAAATGATCTTATAAATAACCAATGAAACTGGGGAGATTATTATTTTCTACTTGCAACTTTTTAGGTCTTCTAAATTTCCTGGAATGAAAATATATTCTTTTATAACCAGAAACAAGAAAGATACTAAAATGAAAGTTATGTGGTTATCATATTAAATTTTATGAAGAAACAAAGTATTTATCATTTACTACATGTATTTTGAAATTTTCTACTTGCTTTCAAGAACTTAATTAATGATTTTTTTTCCACAGGGAAAAAAAAAAAATGATATAATAATGAGTCATTGTTATTCCTTACCTATAGAAAGGCCTGTCTGGTAACCCTAAAGGATCAATAAATGCTCGTTCCAGAAACATCAGTTGATCATTCATAATTCTCAATAATATTGGGCTAAAAATAGAAATATAGTTGTGACATGATGAAAATGCATGCACTACCCAGCAAAATAAAAATTTAGAACAAAACTAAACAAGGCTAATATCTTTTAAAGCTCTATATTATGCAAATTAACAATAGCATACATATTTACATTTTTAAAATCCTATAAAACACTATTCTGCTGAGACTTATACAACCACAGAACCAGTTATATGTGCCAATGGAAAAAATTAGTAATTTTAATTTATGTTGAAATAATAATCAATAAAACCTAGGTATTTAAATATAGGCAAGGCTTTTTTCATCTTAAGTATTCTATTAATGTACTCATAGAAGTAATTTCAATATTGAAATGGGATAGTTTATTAATGTTTTAGTAGGGTGCTTGGAAAACTATTTATTTTACCAAATGACAGCTAATGGTGTTGTTATTATTAAAGATAAATCCACCGTGAACACAAGAGATAGTGTTTACTTCATCCTTCAACAATATTTGAATGCCTGCTATGCATCAGACACTTCCCACTTCCACAGAGCTCACATTCCAAAGTGGTAGTGGTTGGGGGGTGTTATTATAAGAATGATTCGATATCATTGAAAATTTATCAACAAGCCTTGAACAGTTCTGAACAATGAATTCTCAAACATATTAATTATGTCATAATTTAATTAACTGTAGAAATAATCATTACAATGGAGAACAAAAATTTTTTAAATTTCTCTTAATTTTGCCATAATTTAGTTTTAATAACAATAGCTATTTACTGATTGAATCACATATGCTAATTACTGTTCTGAATGTTTATAAAATGTCATTTTTACTCTTTATAATAATCTACCAGTTAGGCAGGATAAAAGCCCTATTCCATAGATGAGATAACTAAGGCTCAGTAGTTAAATAACTTGCCTGAGTTAGTTTTAGAAAGTTTTAGAATGAATTGGGACCTCAGTCCTATTCTTTTAACTCCATTATGTAGGCGAAAGGAAAATAGAATAATTAATTTGAACTGGAAATTTTCAACATTCGTTTATTTAGCATTAAGAACTCATGTGTCGTAATAATATAAAGGTAAACTAGGCATAGTCTTTACCTAGGAGCAGCTCACATTAACAGAGAAGACAAGTGAATAAAACATAATTCTAATTAGATGCTACAGGTTTCTGAACCAAATTCATAAAACATCGCCACACACACAAGTTCATGTGGATACACCACTGCCCCCTCTGGATTTCTGATCTTGAGGCTACCTCTGAAAACCATTGAGCATTCTTTGTACAGAGAAGTTCAATCTGAAGTAACCCTCAGAGGAAATGCTCAGAGCACCAGAGTCAAATAAATGGGATCTTTTCACTGCAGAAGCACGCTGACCTCCCTAGTGAGACCTGAGGATGATAGGTCTTGGCATTGAATACTATGTGAGCATGAAGCTACCAAGTAGTCAACAATGTATCTTTTGATGGGTCAAGGGATTGATTAAAAAAAAAAAAAAACAGGATTAAAAAATTAAACAGGATTCAATGTCCAGTTTAATTTGCTTTAGCCAGCATTTACTATTATGACATGCAATGTACTACTCCATGTGTTCAGAATTTATAAACATAACATAGAGACACACAGAAGCTGTACCTGAAGTATCATTTGGAGTGGATAATACAAGTATAGAAATACTCAAGGAAGTGAAAACCGAGTGTTCTTGGAAATCATAATCCAAGCCATAAGGCAGTTTGTCAGAGGGAAAACAATAATATTTTAAGAATAGAAAAATCAGCTTCAGAGAACATACAGTGTTTGAGATCTCCTTAAAATTTATTTTTCATTGCTAATTTATTTTCCACATAAAAAATTTGGAAAGAAAAAAAAAATTGGAAGGGATTATAAAGTAAAAAAGAAAATTTCCATACTCAACCCAGGATAACAACTATTATACAAATTGGTTTACTTTCTCTCTACATTTATTCGATAAAAATGTAATCAACTATATTTACAAATTTTATGTACTTTTTGTTTACTTCACATCTTCTTATGAATATATTTCCTTTAAAATCATCAATTTTAATGCTTACAAAATGTTTAAATTGGTAGACATCTAATTTTTAAGTAATTTCTCCCCTTAGGTATTAAGATTATTTTTAATTATTTGGTGTTATAATTCACATTTTTCTGAGACTTTCTGAAAGAAAAAGATTCAAGAAACAGAAATGCTAACAGCAAAGTATGAGAACTACATGACGGCTCTTAAAACTTTAGCAAAATGTATTTATATTTTTCAAAAAGTTAATACGATTTACAATGCTATCAGAAACTCATGAGAACATCTGCTTCAGTGCATAACCTGTAGCAATGGGTGCAACCAAGATTTAAATTGTTACTAATTTGATATGAAAATAGTATAACATTATTTGCAATTCCATTTTTGAATTATAAATGAATCTGAATACTTTTTATGTCCATTTCTGTACAGGCGGTATCCTCTCTTGGATTTCATCTTTTCTATTGCCAATATTTCCAACTTTATTCTTTTGGATTTTCTTATCTATTTTCGAAAAAAATATTTTTATGATGTCTATATTACTCCTTTTCCAAAATTGCTGGAAAAGAGGTTTCCTAGTCTTTTTTTTTTTTTTTTTTTTTGGAAAGAAGCTTTAGGGAGGGCGCCGGGAGCTCTCGCTCCAGGTCGTCTTGGCACTAATGAGGAGACAGGCCATCCCTTGGTGATCTCTGAAGAGGTTTCCCAGATTTTTATCTCTGCTTTTGATGATTAATTTTCATATTACTAACCATTGCAATATCCTCAAATCTGATTGCATTGTCGTTTCCCTGTTGCTCCAAACCTGGAATTTCACTTCCTAGAAATTTCAATTTTTAGTATTCTTCTACACCCACTGCGTATGTTTGCATACAATGTTAAGTGTTAAGTGAGATCCTAAATTCACTTTTTAATCAATTGCTAAAAAAGCTTATACAAAATTATTTTTTAATACATCTTTCTTTCACCATTGATTTTTGATATCTTTCATCACAAATACATCCTTTTATAGTCTATTTTTGGACTGTCTGCTCCTATCTTTCTATGTATTCTTGCATCGATCTCCAAGGATTTGATATCTGTATCATCAAAATAGGTTTAATATACAGATGTTAATCCTCAAAATTCTACTTTTTAAAAATTTTCTTAATAAATGTCCTCACATGATTATTCTTCTATCTTAAAATTTTTTAAATTATATTTTACTTTTGTTGATTTTATACAGAATTAATTCTAAGTGCTTCATGTTTGAAAAAAAATAGCTTTACAATATTTGTTATTCTGGATAAACAGAATTTGCCAGGTGGAAGTGAAAAAGAGGAACTCCTTGTGGAGGTAATGGCATTAAGAAGAGAGAGAGTCTACAGCCATGCCACCCTGAACAAGCCCGATCCTGTCTGATCTCGGAAGCTAAGCAGGGTTGAGCCTGGTTAGTACTTGGATGGGAAGTACTAGTTAGCACTAGGAAGACCAGGTGCTGTAGGTGTTAAAAAAAAAGAGAAAGGTGTGTTCTAGGAATAGGAGAGCTTGGTTGACGTACGATGAACAGATACTGGTGGAGAAAGCTGAGGCCACACAGTGGAGGACCTTCAATGCTAAGGTGGGGATTTTGTACTAATGAATTGGTAGTAAAAAAGATGCCAGCATTTTTCAGCAACACAGCTGCCACTCAGAAACAGGTTTTTGAGAGACGTGGCAGCTCTATGTAGGATGTGTGACAGTGGAGAGACAGAAGCAGCAAAAAACCTGCCAAAGATATTTCAGCAACAAATCACTACCTCTTTTTAATTACACCTATTATATGCATAATTTATATATGTAGAACATACTTGTTTTTGTCCAAATCTTGGAGTCTCTTACTGAACTTAGAAGCAATTTCTGTAAAATTCTGCACTGCAGAAAACAGTGAATCTAAAAGAGAAATTAGGATAGAATGGCATTGTTCCATAGCTTAAACAAAAGGGACAGTACAGAAAGCTGTTCTCTGTAAATACAAGGTTCTTATATTTTGTGAAGTACAAGATAAGCATCAATGAAATGGAAAATACATTTATAAACATAAGCAAAATATTTGATCATATGGAACAATAATAAATAATAAATGAACCTAAGGTAGGTCATTTTATTTTAGAGATTAATAGAAACATACAAATAATGAATTTTAAAAGAGGAAATGCTGCATACCAAATGACACGTTGTATGTTCCCATTTCTTGTGGATGTTTCATTGAAATATTGTAGATTTTGTCAGCATACTTTCTTAAAGCTACAGCATAATCACGACAGTCAAAAGGGAGCACTATGGAATTGGCTAGTTCAAACACCATCCCTCCTCGAACCTGGGCCACAGCATGGTGATACTTAAAAACCGGATCATAAAACTTTTCCACCACTTCGTATGTTTCATAGGCAGTGTGATACAGTGGGTAGCTGTTGAATTGGTTTATTGCCTACAAAAAAAAGGGCAAATTATATTCTCTTGCAAGATAGCTTATAATAAAATGCATAGTGCCGTATTACTGAAGAGGAATTTTCCATTCAAATGGCTAACCTTGTAATCAGCTCTTTGTTCTGCTTCTGTAGACATGCTTGCCACATAGACCGAAGGGCAGGACAGGGTGAACTCAAGATCAACTGAAGACGCACCCTCCCCTTTGCTTGTTCTGTCTAGATAACAGATGTATCCCCTTTGCTTATTCTGTCTAGATAACAAATGTATTGCCTTTGCTTGTTAATCCCTGTAGTAAGGTTATCTCTGAGCTCGGGGCCCAGATCTTTAGAGCGCTAGCTCTTCTGGGACCGCCAGAGTAATAAACCTGAGTTCTCCAACTCTCCAAGTGGTGCTTGGTTTCTCGCCGGTCTGATTTTTCTGCAACATTACTATTAATATTGATGAGACTATTTTGATCAGTAATAAATAAAGGAACTACTTAAAGTCTACTTACTAAAGGATTAATATAATAGTAAAACTTGCTCAAGGTTTTTACTAATTAAAAAATATGAGTATATAACATAAATAATTTATAAAAATTAGCTTGGAAAGATCTAACAGTTTTGCCTTTAAGAATACAGAAGATGTGAAAATGTTTCTGAAACAAAGAAAAGATAGTATTGCATTTGAATAAAAATTTAAGACAAAATTGTTAGAGGTAAGTAAATAAGTATTAATCGATATCATATAGGATAATGCTGCAGATTGTTTAATGACTGAAATTCCAGGAATGAATAATTCTCTGACAAGCAATGTGCTGAAGAGTGAAGAGTTTGAGTGGGGAGGATCCAAAATCTCACTAAGGAGAGAGAAGGAGTGGTCAGACAGGTGTAAGAAACCAAGGGAAGAGGGAAGAACTTTTCGAACTATGAATTGTTGATTTTTGCCTTTTGCCCAAATTTTAGCTGCTTATTTTTTTATTGACATAAAAGAACACTTTAAATAGCAAAGTACTGAAGAGACTGAGACTCTGGAATGAGCCTGACAGAGTTTGAATCCAAGCTCAGGACTTATTACCAAATAACTTTGAGTAGTTATTAACTTGAAGGTTATTAAACCGTCTTTGCCATAGTTTTCTCATTAAGTAAAATGTAGATATTAGCATCTACTCTCATCTACCCCATCTAATCTTGCCTAACTTTCTACCTCAACGGTATTAAAGATTTCCTGTCTGGGAAGAATAATTAGCCCAAGAGAAACAACCTATAGATGCTCAATGTTGATTGCCTCCCAATGAAGCAGCTAGAAGAGGTATTCTCGATTACTCTCCTATAAAGCTTCTCATTTGTCAAGTACCACCCTTGCATACTGGGCTTTAATCAGCTTTTTAGAGTCTCACTCCTAAATAACAAAGACTACTAAAGATGACCACGCATTTAAAGGAACCCGTTAACTTGCAAGATATAGATCAAGCACACAAACTAAAAATAAAATCAACTCAGAGTAAAGAGGTATTGCAGGGAATGAAGGGACACTTAATGAAAAAGACTTTAATAAAAAATGAATGAGAGTTGAGAAAAGACAAAGGTAGAAACAAAAAAGATAATACCAAAAACCTCCCAAAACATCAAAAAAAAAAAAAAAATCCTAAATACTACTAATAATAGTTCAAAAAGGAAAAAGGGAAGAAATGAAAAAACATTTCCTCCTACTGCAAGACAGGTTTCCAGACTAAAGGGCCCACTTTGTGCCCCATCCAGTGTATGAAAAAAATGGCATAACCAAGGCACATGTGTACACCTAGGACAACTGAGTCATAAAGAAAAGAAACTAAAAAGCCTTCCATTAAAAAAAAAAAAAATCAGGGACAAAGGAACTGGGATTAAATGGCACCAACCTTCTCAATAGCAATCCTGAAGGCTGGAAAACAATTGGTCATGAGCTCAAAATTCTGAGGGTACAGGATTTTCAACCAAAAGTTTTGTGCCCAAATGATCAATGAATTGTATGTAGTATAAATGGTATTTTCAGATAATCAAGGTCTTCAGCTTTCATACACCCTTTTCAATTAGTTCCTAAAAGATATTTCCCCCCCCCAAAAGTAGGGAGTAAACAAGAAAAAGGAAGGCACAAAATCCAGGAAATGGAAGAACCAGAACAAGAGAGAAACGAAGGTACTCTGGGATTTCTCAGTGAAAAAATTTCTCAGGCAAGAGTTGAGCTGCTGGCAGAGAGAACAACCAGAGAATCCAGAGGAGCTGAAAAAGAGCCTTGTGAGGGAAAATGAAATCTGCCAGATCACCCCCAGTGTGTCTGAATGGACTAAGAGTTTGTGGTAAATTAGTTATGGATTCACGGAAGAAAATAACAGGTACTGTAATCAACACGTGTAGTGCAGCTCTACACTGAGAAAATGCGACGGGGGTAAGTATTTGGGCATTGACAGAAGAAGCAATATAAGAGAACTAAATATCAGTCTTCCTTAGTAAGAAGTAAATGGATAATACATAAAATTAATTACTAAGAAAACAGCAGCATAAGCATATTATTTATAAACATGCAGATAGCTATCAGGCTCTCGAACCACCCTTCTCTTGCTCAGGCCTGCTTCCACGTCGGGAAGTGTTCCGTTGCTTTACTTTCCCTTCCAATAACGCTATAGAAGAAACCAATGAAAAAGCTGAAAGAATTTTATTCTGCTGAACAGAATCAAAGGTGGGACAAGCGTGAAAGTGGGATAAGGGGCCACCGTTTTTCATTATAAACTCTTCTAGTTCTATAGGACATTTTATGAACTACATACCTGTTACTTTGATAAAAGTGAAAACCATATAATTATCATTATCATCATCAGCAACAATAGGAAAAGAATCATCATGACTTGTATATGTGTTCATTATTTATTATGCCATTTGTTATTATAACTTTTATGTTTAATGACTGGAGATATAATCAGATAAAAATCCAAATATTGGCAGGTCTCAATAATGATTAATTTTCAATGACAATGGGTAAACAAGAGTCAAAGACAATTTCTACATTTTTAGTTTAAATAACTGGGTGAAAGCAATACTAACCAGTTAAACAGAATATATGAGAGTACATGGAAGTTCAAGTTACAAGGCTCAGATTACCAGATGCAGGAAACTATACCTTATATAGTAGAAGCACATTCTCAACCACTGAGACTTCTCTCTTCTGATTCAAATTCCTCTAGTGCTTAAGCCACATTTTTTGATTCAAACTTATTTGTTTAGCTAAAATATATCTTAAATAATCTTGAAGTACTTCTCAATAGACTTACCCAGTTTTTAGTATATCGTGCTCTGCCTGAAGCAATTCCAAGTCTTTGGAAGAACACCTCGAAATCATTGCCAGATCCTAACTTGCTAATCCTTTTAGGAATAAAATTCAAGTTCATTTGAGTAACTTCTCCATCAAGTACAGATTAAAAGATTAACTAAATTAAGCTCCATTCCCATGATTATGAATATAATTTTTAGATGTATCACCTTAGACAAGCAACAACAAAAAAATGAGACATCAGTTCTGATCACAAAATATCTTCTAATAGACTATCTGTGTATGGTGACTATTGTTCCTTTGGGTTCCTGGACCCAGTTCCAAGTTGTGGAATTGAGGGGTTCCCAACAACAAGCAATTCTCTGGGAAACCAGCTGAGCATCCTACAATTCAACTTAATTCTGGAAACAACATCAGATCCCACAGGTTAAGGGCTCAGTCCCACAAGACTGCCTTCCCCACAACCACCACTTCAGAAGCCAATTGCAAGTCATGCTGTTACCCGTGCTTCTCACTGACCAGCTACAGATTGGAGGTTCCCAGAACACCCTCCTTGAGTTAATCAGCTAGAGTGGCTCACAGAACTCAGAGAAACATTTATTTACTAGGTCACTGGTTTATTATAAAAGGATATAACTCAAGAGATTGCCAGAGGAAAGAGGTGATGAGGCTAGG